GCCTTTGGCTCAGGTCAGCATCCCAGAGTCCTGGGATCGAGTCCTGGGATCGAGCCCCGTGTCTGGCTCCCTGCTCAGCGGGAAGCCTGCTTCTCCCTCTCCCACTCCCCCCTGCTTGTGTTCCCTCTCTTGCTGTCTCTCTGTCAAATAAATAAATAAAATCTTTAAAAAAATACACAAATTAGGGCGCCTGGGTGGCTCAGTCATTAAGCATCTGCCTTCGGCTCAGGTCATGATCCCAGCGTCCTGGAATCGAGTCCCACATCGGGCTCCCTGCTCTGCGGGGAGCCTGCTTCTCCCTCTTCCACTCCCCCTGCTTGTGTTCCTGCTCTCGCTATCTCTCTCTGTCAAATAAATAAATAAAATCTTAAAAAAATAAAAAATAAAAAAAATACACAAATTAATGCTGACCACTTAAAAACAAAAGTATGGGAGGAGGAGGGGGTTTATTTGTCCACATAACTGAGAGGGGCTGGGGTATATGGAATGCAGGCAAAGCTGGATCCAGGAGCTTAATGGTCAGGAATTATCTCCATCTCTCCTGCTTTTGCTTCTGGTGTGATAGCTTCATATTCAGGCAGCCCTATCCCTTGTGGTGGCAAGCAGCCTGCCAGATTTCTAGGCTGATATATTCTGCCATTTTAGCCGCCCAAGAGTTTGTATTTCTCAAAAGTCCTGGTTTGTTCCCTGATGTATCCCTAGCATCTAACTTGGTGTATTGAATGAATGGCTCCATCAAAAGTCCTGAGACTGACTCTCATTGATTCAGACTGAGTCGTGTGCCCACCTCCAACCCAATCAGTGTGACTTACTTTACCTGGGTCACATGGGTAGAGTCAGCTCCCCACCCCTCAACACGGACTGAAATAGAAGGGCAGAAACCCAAAAGGAAACAATGGATCCTAGTATCAGAGGGGTTGCTGGCAAACCAATATGTCCCCCAAATCCTTAGAATGCAGGGCTACTGCTCTTTCTCCTAGAGTCATCCACAACATAGACCTACAGTGAAAATGTACAGGCTTAAAATCTTGTGGGCGCTGGGTGTGCTGAGCTCCTTAATTGCAGCCTCAGCATAACCCTCACTAATGGAATATAAGAAGAGGGCTTATTTCTGTGATGCTGGGCTTCTTGCAGCTGGATCAGATGGGCTTGGGGGTCAGGTAAGGGAAACCAGCATGGCCAAAGATGCCAGAACCCCAGGATTCCTTCCCGGCCAGGACGATGGGCGGTTCCAAGCCTGGAGCCCTTCTAGTCTCTCTCTTCCAACCCTAGCCAGGAGCCTCAGATCCAAGGTCTCATTTGTTCATTTGGATTGGCCCGGCATGGGGAAAGAGTCAGGGCTAGCCTGAACACTGGGACGCCTCAGATGAGTGCCTTATGCCTTGTGAGGAATACCCAGTAGAAGACTCCAGAGTCTCAGCTCCCAGTCTCACCCAACCCACCAGTTGACTCCCAAACCACTCTCCATGTCTTCCACATCTTCTCCCACACCTGCAGGAACAGAGGTTGGAGTAGGGCAGAGTGCCCACAGAGAAGAGGTCTGACTTGTGTGTTTTTCAGATATTTTATTAAGAATAAGGCATATGACAGTCACCCCTAAAGCATAGGGCTCTATTTCTGTGGGTGAGTGAGTACACTCTGAAAAGCATTGGATTAAAAAGCACAGCCAACAGAGAATTTGGAGCAGGATCCCTCTGCCCCACCCATGGAGCTCCTGCCAGGTGGTTCGGAAGCCCTGCATGTCCCCCATTCAAGGCTGGCACCTCAGGGAGAGGGTGCTCAGGGATCCCCAGCTCTCTGCACTAAAGAGATGCTGTTCCACACCCTCCTGGCCTCCTTCCTCTCCACTGGGAGACCTCTATTCTGACGCTGATTTGGGGAAGGGCTACCGCATTTCAGCCCTGGAGTGGTCCCCCAAACTGCAGACCACTGTGGGTGGGATATGGGGGGCAGGGGTACGGAGCCTCATGCTGAATTGCCCACTGGTCCCTGGCTGGCTTCCAGAACAGGGAGGGGTTCCCACCTGCAGCTCTCCTTCCTGGGTCTGTCCACACTTCCGGTGTGGCTGGACCTCCACCTAGGGCATTGTGTTCTTGTCAACATGCCCCTCCCCCAATGGGGATTTGTGCTGCCGAGAAGAGGGGAGGAGGGGAGAGGAGACACAATCCTTTCCATTCTAGTCACTCAGACCATCCCGGGGCTTATGGGAGGGGGCTCTTTCCTTTGGCAGAGTGGGTCCCCCAGGCCAGAAGAGGGAGAGGGCTGGAGGCTAAGGAATTTGGGGCTCCTGAGGCCAAGGGCAGGCTACTGACTCCCAGTCCCATTCTGCTGCACTGAGGGTTCTGTTCCAAATCCCAGGGGGCGGGTGGATAGAGGGAAGTCTTTAGTCCATTATTTCCAGGAGAAGAACGGGGAAGAGGAGTTTGTTAAAACAAAACTGGAAAAAAAAAAAAAGGGAAAAAAAAAAGGAAAAAAAAAAAAAGGAAAAAAAAAAAAAGAAAAAAAAAAAAAAAACTGGAAACCTCCATCTGCTTCAGCCCCTCCCCCAGCTTGCTAAGTGGAGGAGAAGGGCGGTTGGCTCATTTCCTTTCCCAGACCCTCAACACCCCAGATGAGAGTCAGCAAGTCAGCCGCCCCAGCACTCTCAGAACCTTTCATCTGGGGGATCTCCAAGCACCCCACAAATAATTAAGTGTCATTATCGCTGGTCGCTCGGAAGGGAGATAGGAGTTCGGAGGTGCTGATGGCGTCACACTTGGGGAGAGGCAGGCGGGCCACCAGAGGCTCCCTGGGGTAGGGGTGTGGTAGAGGCCCCCAGCTAGACACCCTGGGCCCCCAGGAGGGGAGGGGGGAAAAGGGCTATTGCTATAGAGCTGGGGGGAGGCCAGGCGGGCATAGCTATGGCTTTTAGTAGGTGGGTGGGTGGATAAACTATGTCACCCTCTCTGTCGAAGAATCAACATAACAAAGTCACCCTGTTTACCCCAAAAGTGTGGCTGTGGAAGCTCAGGGTCTGGGTGGGCTGCTCCAGAAAGACACCCTTTCCCTCCTTCCCACACAGTCCTTTGGGCCCCTTCGAGAGAGTGCAGCCAAGAGAGAAGAGAGGTGTCCTCACACAGACACCTCTGGAAGGTAGGCAACAGGACCAGGGGTACAGTGTGTCACACGCACCTGAGGGGAGACATGGAGGGCAGAGGCACAGAAATGGGGCGGGAGAGGAGGGTAAGAGGCCAGGGCAGGCAGAGCAAGGGCCCCAGGCCACCGCCACTGTGGCCCAACTTAGACCGAGAGAGAGAGAGAACACTGTCTGTCCCAAGGGCGTCCACACCTTGGTTGGACACCCGGATGAGGCCTGGTTATTGCTCAGTGGTCTCAGCAGTCCTTAGCGCAGTCAGCTGGCAGAGGACAGCATATTTGTGGGGGCTGGGAGTGTGCTCACTGGTTTTGCTTCTTGCCCATTGATTTCCACACCCTCTGACCTACAGAGCGAAAGGGAACCCGACTGCGGGTTCCTCCGGTTCATTACAGGGACCATGATGGGAGAAGGGTTCACCACCCCTAGAGATGGACTCTGCTCATCTCCCAGACCCTGGGTGCCGCACAGATTGCTTGGCCTCAGCCAGGGCAACACGTGCCAGGATGCGCTATCTGTGAGTGAGGTAAAGGCCTCTCCCTGCCCCCTACACTCCCTCAGCAGCCCCTGGAAGACCTCACAGGCACTTAGGACTCAATGCAGGACCAACAGAGGAGGCATGGCATGGGGAGAGGGGCTCTAGGGTTTGTCTTTCTAGGGGCTGGGCTTGCAGTGGGGGCCACTTGTTGGACTGGACCTGCACTCCCTGCCTTTGGTCAGGAGAGGGGAGCTGGGGAGAAAGTAGTTAGGAGGTGGGGTGTCCCACTTTCCATTTCACCACTCCCCATCCTAGACAGAAGGGTTACACTGAGCACAGGCCACTGTCACTTCTGGTAGGACTGGGGGCCTCCCTGGAGGGGACCAGCCTGGGGACTAACCTGTGCTCTTACCTCCTCCCTCAGCAAACTCAAGCCTCTATCCACCACTGCCACTTCCAGGAACCTGGCCCTTCTTCCCACCTCCGGGTGCAGCTGGGCAAAATTAGCACCAATAGACAGGACTAGGAAAGCTCCCAAGGCAGCCTTCACGTTCCCAGCTACCTCCCGCAGGGGAAGGCAGTTTCTGCCCTTCCAAAGCCTGACGTGGGGGGCGGCTGACTCGGGCTGACTCGGCAGTGTCCCCCTTGCTTCCCTAGCACAGCTCCCAGCCGAAATCCTCAGGTGGGCGTCCTGGGGAAGAACTGAACTGGAGACAGCTTTAGACCAGGTTCTGCCATCGAACCCATTCTGTACTCCTCTCCAGAAGTTCAAACCTCCATCACGTCACACTTTCCCTACCAGGGACACTGGCAGGAAATGCCTTTAAAGAGTTGGGTGCTCTCCGGTAAGGACCTATCAGCGGGGTAGGGGTCGGAGAAGCGGCGTCAGAGGAAAAAGGTCCAGCCGTCAGCCCGGAGCCCGAACCTCCCCTCGAAGGCAGGCTTGGCGGGAAGGGCAGCCGTGCGGGAATGGGGGAGGGCCAACAGGGGAGCTGGAAGGCCTAGGGGTGCTAAGTGCCACTGCGTTCCTTTCGTAGGCCAGCCCAGCCTTCCCCCTCACGTCCCGCGATTGTCCGCTTTCCCGGGACCGGGCGCGCCCCCCGCCCCGCCCCTCCCCGCAGCAGATAAGCCTCCGCACTGCGAGTCCTTGCCACAAAAGAAGGTGCACTCTCTCAGCCCCGCCGAGGAGCCCCCTCGGGGCAGGACAATACAAAAAGGCTGGGGCGGTTGGAAGGGGTGGGGGTGGGGGAGCTGGGGCCGCCTCCGCTCGCTCCCGGGAGGAGCGCCGGCTCCCGCGGCTCCCCCGGGACCTGCCTGCGCGGGCCCAAGCTGCGTCCCTAGCCGGAGGCCGAGCCGGCCTTCGCCACTCCCCGCCCCGCAGCCCCGCGCCTACTCCGGCTCCCCGGGAGCGCTGGGCGGGCTGGGCGCGGCCGGCGGGCCGGCTTGGTCCGGGGGCTCCTGGGGAGGCGGCTGGCGCGGGCTGCGGCCGCTCGGCCGCGGGGGCCTCTGGGCATAGAGGAAGAGCGCGGGGTCTGGCATGGGGTCGACGTCGTCCAGGGCCCGGGCCGCGCGCTCCCAGGCAGCCCAGTCCCGGCCCAGGCCCTTGGCGGCAGCCTCGGCGGCGGGCGGGCGGCGGGCCCGCTGTGCTCGCCGGCGGGGCCGGGGCTCGGCGGCGGCGGCGGCGGCGGGGCCCGGGCGCGGAGTCTGCAGTCTCTGGCGCGCCGCGTGCAGCTGGCAGGAGAGGTAGGCGGCCGCCTCGGTGTGCTTCTGCAGCTCGGTGCCCAGCACGGTGGCACGGTGGCTGCGGCGCCGCAGCTCCTCCAGGAAGCGGCGCTCCTCCGCGCGGAGGCTGCAGCGCAGCGCCGACACCAGCGCCTCGCGCTGCGCCACCTCCCGCCGCAGCTCGGCGTTGGCGGCCGTCCGCGCGGCGAGCTGCGACTCCAGCGCGCGGCACTTGCTCTCCAGCTCCCGGGACGCCGCCTCTGCGGGGGAGGGGGGGGAGATGGACAGGAGAGGTGATGGTCTCCGCCTGGCCGACCCTGCACAGCTCGCCGAGCCACGTTACCGAGCCCCGCACTCCCTCCCCACTCCTCCGCTACGCTGGCCTTCCTTTTCTCTTCCTCAGGGCCCTGGCACCTATCCTACCCTCTGGCCTAATTCATCAGGCTTCAGCTTAAATGCAAACCCCTCCCTGACCATTTATGCACCCCATAAATATCTGTTGAACTCTTACTACATGCATTGTGCTAGGCATAGGGAATATGGTGGATAATAAAACATTCCTCATGAAGCTTACAGCAAGCACAGTGGGAGAGGTAGAGTACATAATCACAAATGAATGTGAGGTTGCATCTGTGACTTGTGCCAGTGCCATGACTCACAGGAGACTGTGACCTAATCAGTCTTCGCAACAGAAGAGCCACTTAGGCTAGCAGGAGTTGGAAGAATGAGTTGGAGTTAAGCACTGAAGCGCTAGAGAGGAGGGTGCTTTGCACAGAGGAACATGTCTCCCAGGGGAGGAGAGACATGCAAGAGTGAGGGACTGAAAGACCTGGGACCTGGGAATGTGGGCAGGAAAGGGGAATCAGCTGCCTTGGAGCTTGCTGTTTCTTTCCTAGAGCATTTGCTACATTTTGTAATTTATGTGTGTTGCTTGTTTGCCTCTGCCCACTGCACTGAGTTTCAACACTGGACATACATTGACCACCCAGAGAGCTTTAAAAAATCATTTCCTGGGCCCTAACAAAGACCAACTGAATCAAGATCTCTGGGATTGGACCTGGGAATTGGCACTTCTTCAATGTGCCCAGGTGATTCTAATGTGCCCGCAGAGTTGAGGACCCCTGTCTCCCAGATCATGAGCTCCATTTCAGCAGGGAACATATCCTGGGATTAACACATGTGAGTGATTGTAGTGACAGAGATAGCTGAAAGGTGACAAAAGGTAGGCAAAAGGTGACTCTGGAAAGGATATGAAAAATCAGCCAGTGGTAGGGGGACAAAGAAAGGGAGCTCAAATCCACTGAGAGAGAAGATTAAAAAAAAACCAGGACACTAACTAACCCTTGAGCTCAGATGACCCCAGAAACTCTTTCAGAGGAAGGATAGTAGGTGGGGTGAAGGTTACTATTGTTACAGAAGTGGTGTTTGGGATGTATGCCCCCTTCCTCCAAGTACCGAGGCACGAAGAGGTTGCCCCTGGGTGCCACTTAAAGAAGTGGGCAGAACTCAGACGAACCATTAGAGACGATGGACTCTGAAAAACAAACTGAGGGTTCTAGAGGGGAGGGGGGTGGGGGGATGGGTTAGCCTGGTGATGGGTATTAAAGAGGGCACATTCTGCGTGGAGCACTGGGTGTTATGCGCAAACAATGAATCATGGAACACTATATCAAAAACTAATGATGTAATGCATGGTGATTAACATAACAATAAAAAATTATTAAAAAAAAGTGGGCAGAACTCGTTCAAGTCTATAAATGTTTAGATCTTTATGCGTGAATATGCAAAGCAATTTGTAGGGCTCTCAACATTTTACCTTAAACTTCAGCTTTCTCCATGCCTAAGTCTTGGTCATGTATATCGTTCTTGATCTATGAGCAGCACATCAATGGCAGGGAGTCCATTCCCTGCTAAATTCCTCCCGGCTAAGAAAGACTACATGGTGATTCATTTTAAATTAAGCATTTACCAAGTCCCTCTTCATGTCTTGCATTGGGAGACAATGGATAACACCCAGTCCCAGTTCTCAGAGATCCATATAATTTTGGTGATTAAGATCTCACAGTGGAATCCCTCCCTTTTAAAAAAAAGTTTTAATTGTAGCAAAAACCAAATAACATAGAGTTTGCCATCTTAACCATTTTTAAGTGTACAGTTCAGTAGTTTTAGGTAAACTCATATTGTTGTGCAACAGGTCTTTAGAACTTTTTCGTTTTGCAAAACTGAAACTCTATGCTCATTGAACACCATCTCCCCCCACCCTCCATTCTATGGGGGAAGTAATAATCTGTAAACAAATATTTTAGTGGAATTGCTACAACGGCAAGAAGTCCTGCTTTTGTAAAATGAAGGATTTGCTGATATGCATGTGTTTCTTTTTTCTCCTCATCTAGATGAAGTTCCTTCAAGTCATGGACTCCATATTGCCATTGTGTTGCATCTCAACAATTAGCATCTTGGACGGTGTGGACACTGACCATGGAAATCACTTGTGCAAGGATGGGAAAGATTAGGGAGGTAGGTCATAGAAAGGAGTAAAGTCGACGAGATGGACTTCCTGGATACCATATCCTTCCTGCGTTCATTTTCCTACTTTGGACAGAGACACGGATACAGGGTATGGTGGTGCAGGTTGTTCATTTTACAATGTCACCCAGATGAGTAGGTAAATGGGGCTGACATCCTGCACTCTGTTTAGCAAGCTGAGTGGCTGTCCCCCATGTCTGGACTGGGGACAGAGAAGGCTTGGGTCCTACTAAGTGGTGGGGAAAAGGTGACCTCTTGGGCCCACATGGCATTTCCCCACCAGTCATCCTTCCCTTACCTTGCTGGTGAGACTGGGCTTCTCTCATCTCCAGGTCACGAGTCAGTTCTGGGGGGAGGAGAGAAAAAAAAAGGCAGTCGTGTGTGTGTGTGTGTGTGTGTGTGTGTGTGTGTGTGTGGTGTATGAGAGAGAGAGACAGAGAGAGGGAGAGAGATCAGGGATTCACAACTCAGTAAAAGTGGCAATATTAGCATCCTTAGAAGCCATCTAAACCACCTCCCATGCCTATTTTACTGCAGTTCAGTGAGGGAAAGAGATGAAGAGACGTGCAAGGCACAGGCTGAGCCTGACTGGCCTGATTCTAAGCCCAGAGAACTTTCTAGTACAAGTGCCATGGGCTGCATTTGGAGATTAGTTCAACCCTTGGACTGAAGAGCCTGGCTTGCTTTTGGGGCTGGGGGAGTATTTGCTCCTTCCCAGCCGTGATATACAAATATCTAACATGACAGCCAATCAGAGCCACTCTGGAGGACCCCTGCTGTGCTAAACCGTTAGGGTTTAGTTGGTGGATGTGGGAAGGCTGGAGGGTCCTGGGCTGCTTGGGGGCCCTGGAGCGGGACTCAGGGCAGTAGCTATTTACCAATAGGGTACATGCATTTCACTATTTTCACAGCCAGTACTGCTGTGCCTGCGTGATTTTCTGAACATCAGCCCTGCTCCTTTCCAAGCCCTGTTTTCCGCCATGTTTCACAAGGCAAGGAGAGGGGCTTCGGGGAGAACAGCGCCACCTGGTGATGGAAGGCCTACATGGCACTTCCCTTGGAGCTGAGGGGGCGGGGTCAGCCCGCCGAGGGTGCTGGTGTTAAGAGAGGTTTCCTCCTGAGTGCTGGCAGCCCAGTCACCACCCTTGCGCCTCCCTGTCTTCCCAGTCCCCATTCCTTACCGCCCAGAATGCCCCATCCCTCGGCTAGCTGATTTTGATCATTTTTTTCAGCCCCACCCCAACTCCCCCAAATCCACCACAGCTCAAGAACTGGGAAAAGGGCAGGAGGGAGCCCCGCAGCAGCTGGTGACAGAGGGCATCCCCTCTGGAGCAAGTGTGTGTACTTGCAGGGATGCGATCTGGTGCCTAAAGGGAGGAGGTGTGAACCTGGCAGTGGGATAAGGTAGCAAATCTCTGGGATCAATGTCCAGCAGCACCTAGAGAGTCTAGCCTTGTGGGCCCTCTGTCTGCCCCTCCTCACTGGCTCTTCCCTTGCGAGGCCAAATGTTGCTAGGAGACCGAGAGCCAGGGTACCTGGGCCTTTTGCTGTGACCTGAGTCTGAACCTCCTTCCTGGAGCCCCAGGGAGGACCCTGATGCCTCTATCCTCCAGGGCTTCCTGGAGCCAACTTGGCCCCTCCTGCAAGGCCCCTGGGTAGCCCAAGGGATCTGGCTCTGCCAATACCTCCCACTGGAGTGTTTTCACCCTTAATCAGGGAAGTTGGGGGAGGGGAGATAGACTCCTAGTTGGGCTCCACTCCCCCCATCCATCAGATCTCCCTGCCCATCTTCTGGCCAGAGTCCCCACCTTTAGAAGAGCATGCAGTGAGATCAGATACCCTATGTGACCTTGAGCCAGGAATGGCACCTCTCTGAGCCTCAGTATTCTCATCTGTGAAATGGGGACAAAATCACACCTGCCTCTCAAGGGGCTATTGCTAGGATTAAATTAGAGAAAATAAACAGAGGGCCCAACCCAGGGCTGAGTCAGTGCTGAATACATGGGGCAGTTCTTGTTATCATCCAGGCTGCCCCACCACCCAGAATACACCCACCCATCTCTTAAACCCCTTCAGTCTGAATGGCACCCCTTTTTTTTGCAGGCTCTTTCTGAAGCCCTGCCTGCTTGGTTCCTACACTAGTTCATCCCCTCTCCCATCCCCTTCTCTGCCTCTGAGCCCCGATTTATTTTATTTATATATATATTTTTTAAAGATTTTATCTATCTATCTATTTATTTATTTATTTACTTACTTATTTGAGAGAGATAGAGAGAGAGAGGACCCAAGCCAGGGGAGAGGATGAGGGAAAGCCCATGCTGGGCTCGATCTCAAAACTCTGAGATCATGACCTGAGCCGAAATCAGGCTGGACACTCAACTGAACCGATTGAGCCATCCAGGCGCCCCTATATATATATATATATTTATTTATTTATATATTTATATATTTAATTTATTTTATTTTTTAAAGTAAGCTCCATGCCCAACAAGAGGCTTGAACTCACAACCCTGAGATTAAGAGCCAGGCACCCCTCTGAGTTCCTGTTTAATCTCCTTGAAAAAATCTTTGTTCTGCTCCCTTCCCCTCACTCCTCTACCCCTTGGAAGAAGGGCCTTATTCAGTTATTTCAGCCCCAAGAGTGGCTGTTCCAGGCCAGCCCAGAGTTATTTTTATCTCCTTAATCAATAACCAAGAGGCTACAGTCCCATACCCAGCTGGAAAGGGTGGTGGGGGCTGTTCCAGCCCTATCACACTTTCTTGGGATCCTGGCCTATGTCCTGCGTGGAAGGACCCAGGTCTTCAGAATTAGGGCAAAGCAAAAAGAAACTAGAGCAAGAGCTGTGGGGTCTTTTCTTTTTTTTTTTTTTTTAGAGCTGTAGGGTCTTAGGGTACACTTATTCTGATTTTCCTTTCATGTTGCCACTGCAATGAAAAAATGCATCAGGCAAGGGCATCAGGCAGGGGTGAGTCAGTGTGGGCCATCTGTGCCCCCTGGGCTGGCCTCTGCTGCCATCCCGGCTTCAGGGGAGATTGCAGGGAGCCTGGCCTAGGAGTGTAGCTGCTGAATCTGTAATGGAGCCGGAGGACGGCGTGGTGGTGGAGAGTCAGGATGACCAGCGTCGCATGCCACAGAGTGAGAAGCCAGGCAGGTCTCTCAGTTTCCCTCTAGAGAATGGGGGGCCTCCCATGAGCAGAGGCTGGAAGGGAGGTAGAAGTGTGAGCATCTTGGGGAGAGAGTGTGCAGAAAGCTGCAGAGGCAAGCACAGCTGAGAGTCTGGAGCTCTGGGTTCTAATCTTGGCTCTGTCACTAGCATATTGTGCGGCGCTCTCTCTCTCTTTCTCTCTGGATCTCAGTTTACCTACTTGTATAATGAAGACGTTGGGCTGTTCCAACTGACACATTCTATTAGTCACAGACTCTAAAGCCTGTACTTGGAGACTCAGCCTGGGTGAGCACTTGGGCCAGAGCCCAGCCTCTGAGAGGGCCAGGCAGCTGAAGCCTGAGGTCCAAGAGCAGAGGTCAGGCCTGGGATTTGGCTTCATTCTTGGTGCCTCCTTCTGTCTTGTTCACAAATCCAGTCAGTTGCCACGTCCTTCCTTTCACCCTGTCTCCCACCAGTCTTCCCCTTTCTACCCCTTTCATCTCTCCCCGGACCATTTCATTGGCCCCACCACTAGCCTCACTGTCTCCCTTCCCCTCCAATTCATCTTTCATACAACTGCCGAGTTTGGAGTTTCATAATGCAGCATGATGCTCTTCAGAAACATTCAGTGGCTCCCCACTCCCCAGGAGGACAGGCCAAACTTCTCAGCTGTCGTGATACTTGTCAGGGTCTCCCATGAGCTGCCCCCACCCCTCCCCCCAACCCCCCATCCCTCCGGCCTCACCTGAACAGCGTTTCTGCAGCCTCAGGATTTCCAGGTGCAGGTCTCGCAGCAGGGCCATCTGCTCCTTTTTCAGGAAGCTGATGTGGCGTTGCACACTCTGGATCTGATGCTCCAGGGACACGGTATCCATGGCAACCCAGGCCTGGGCCCCACCTGGGGGGAAGATGATAAGGTAAACCCACATCTTGTGGGCCCATCTGCCCCGCCCACCCTCAGATCCCTCAGAGTCTCCCACAATCGGGGCTCCTGTTGCCACCAGGCAGAGAGTTCTACGGCCGCACTCATTACCCCCGTGTTTACTCACCAAAGCGTCACGCGTGTGTTGTCAGGGAAGTATAGTTATTCCCATTTAACAGATGAAGAACCAGAAGCCTGGAGGGAAATGGCTGCATGCCCCTGCCTGCATGTAACTTTAGCCTATCTGCTTCTTAGAAAGGAGCACGAATGGAGCCGCAAAGTCAGTGAAGAGAGACAGAGGCAGGCTGTAGCCTGCTTCCTCACCAGCTCTGGGCAAGCCCTCTCCCTCTCTGGGCTCTTGGTTTTCTTGTGCCTAAACTGAGGGAGTTATGGAGTGGAAAAACCCATCCCGCCAGCATCCCAGTTCAAGGGTGCCCACGAGCTGGTAGACCAGCATGATGGTTAGAGCACATCCTCTCCCAGTTCAACTCCATTTCTCCGACTTAACCTTAACCCAGGACTCTGGGGTCCTCTAGGTCGCAGAGGAGGAGGATCTGATGAGTAGTCTACTAACACCAACTCTATGGGCTGAAGGCAGGTGGCAGAGTCCCTTTTTGAAAGAGTGGCTGGCTCAGTTGGTAGAGCATGTGACTCTTGATCTCGGGATTGTGAGTTCAAGCCACGTTGGGTGTGGAGATTACTTCAGAATAAAATCTTCAAAAAAAATAAAAGAGGAGTGGGAGAGGTTGATAAGGAGACCCATGCAAATGAATCCATGAATCACATAAGACACTGTGAAGGGAGGGGAGCTCTGTGCCCCTGAATCCTAACGATGCCCTGGCTTTGCAGCCCTCCCCCTTTTGACCCCATCCCTTTCCCAGGAGGTTCCTCCTGTGATGATCACCGTCCTGGAGAAGCATAAGCAGAGGGCAGAAACAGGAGGCAGAGTTCATGCCTTTTCTGCCAGGGACTCCCTAAGCGGTTTTTTTTTTTTTTGAGACAGAGAGAGAGAGAGAGAGAGAGCACGGGCAAGTGGGGGGAGGGGCAGAGGGAGAGAATCTTCAAGGAGACTCCCCGCTGAGTGCAGAGCCCAACACAGGGTTCCCTCCCATGACCCCAAGACCATGACCTGAGCCAAAACCAGGAGTCTGACGCTCAACCGACTGACCCATCTGGGCACCCCTCTCCCTAAGCTTTTGAAGGAGCTGTTTCTACCTGCCCCAGGAATTCCCTGGGCCGTGGAGAGAGAGGCCAGTTGATGGACCGCTCTTTTTGGCAAATGGTCCCCTCCAGATTGACTTCGATGTAAGTCCCTGCAAATTCAGATTTTCATTTGTAGGGTTGCATCAAGCACGTGCACCTGAGAAACTCACATTCATAGGTTGGTCTCTTGGGCTCCCTTTTTTTTTTTTTTTAAGATTTTATTTATTTATTTGAGAGAGAGAGAGTGAGAGACAGAGAGCACGAGAGGGAAGAGGGTCAGAGGGAGAAGCAGACTCCCCGCTGAGCAGGGAGCCCGACGCGGGACTCGATCCTGGGACTCCAGGATCATGACCTGAGCCGAAGGCAGTCGCTTAACCAACTGAGCCACCCAGGTGCCCATCTTGGGCTCCCTTTCCTTGTACTCCCTTAATCCAACCAAAGAGGCCTTTCATTTCAGCAGGGGGTGGCCCTTTGGCCTGTGGGAACCACTGGCTACATTTACTGACCATCTCCTATGTTTAGGAACTTTATACACATTATCTTACCTCTGCTAACCACTCTTCAGTAAATATTACCACCCCCATTTCACAATGGCTACATTTACTGCCCATCTCCTATGTTTAGGAACTTTATACACATTATCTTACCTCTGCTAACCACTCTTCAGTAAATATTACCACCCCCATTTCACAAATAAAGAAAATGAGGCTCAGAACCGAAGTGATTTGCGCCTAAGTGGTGGCAGACCCAATTCTCTGAGTCTTTTGAATCCAAAGTAGGTTCCCAGTATTCACACTGAGAACAGTCCGGGGTTTGAATCCTAAGTCTTTTGGTTACCTGCTGTGTGACTTTGGGCAAGAAAATTAACCTCCCTCAATCTTTTTTCCCTTCTCTGTAAAATGGGGCTAATGGTAACAGTCTTAGGATAGTTGTGAGAATTAAATGAGATTAAAAAGTTCAGAGCACTTCTTCTCTGTCTAGTGTGTGGAGTTACAAGGAGTAACCTACTCCTTGTCTTGATTTGCTCGTTTATTCATTCATACATTCATACATTCAATGATCTACTTATTGCCAACTATGGGGGTATGGGAGACACAGTGATGAATAAAACAAAATTCTTGCTCTCATGGAGCTCACAGGATGAAGAGAATCAAATAAATAAATGCATCAAACAAATAATAATATAAATAATATACAATTATAATCTGTGAAGAGCACCATAAAAGAAACATAGGGTAATGTGAAAGAATATAAAGTGGGACCTATTTTAGATTTGGGGGAGAAGGTCTCTTGAAGGAAGCGATTTTAAGCCAAGACCTTGTGGCAGGCAGAATTCTAAGCTGGTCCCCAAGATTCCCAGCCCCTGGTGGATATGTCCTCCTGCATCATCCCCTTTCTTTGAGTGTGGGTGTGACTTTGAATGTGATGGATTTCTCTCCTGTGATTAGAAGGGATTTTGCAGTGTAATAAAGGTCTCCAATCAATTGACTCTAAGTTAACCAAAAGGGAGATTATTCCAGGCAGCCGGTTCATAGGGCCCATACTGAAGGAAAAGATCTGAAGCCTGGGAGAAATGGTGCTGCTGGCCTTGCAGGAGTAAGCCACCATGCTGTGAGGCAACCCAGGAAGGAAGGCACAAGGCAAAGACTTGAGAGAGGCTGCTGGTGGCTGAGGATGGTTCCTGGCAGACAGCAGGCAAGCAATGAGGATGGCAGTTTGACAGCTACAAGTCCATTGTATGGGCTACCTAAGGGATCTTGGAAGTGGGTCTTTTCCCTAGTTGAGCCTTCAGATGAGAATGCAGCCAGCCTTAATTTCAGCCATTTGAGACCTGAGCAAGGACCCGGCTAAAATATGCCAAACTCCAGATCCTTGGAAACTGTGAGGTAACAAATTTATGCTGTTTTAAGCCACTTAGTTTGTGGAAATTTGTTACACCACAATAGAAAACTAATACAGACTTGGAGGAGGTGTAGGAGTTAGAAGAAGAATAAAGGGAAGAGCATTCCAAACAGGGAACAGCATTTGTGAAAGTCCTGGGGTAGGCTAATAATGATAGCTTACATTTATTCAGTGCCTACTATGTGCCAAGCCTTGTGCTAAGAGCTTCACATGGTCTTTTTGGGGGAACAGGGACATTGTCACTGCTGGTGAGGACTGAAGTATAAGGTGTCAGGGGAGGGTCACAAGAAGTGAGGTTAGCAAGAGAAGGATTGCATAGAGTCTTGTACACTATGCTAAGAATTTTGGATTAATACTAAATGGATTGGTGAGTTACTAAAGGATTTTTTTTTTTAAAGATTTTATTTATTTATTTGACAGAGAGAGACACAGCAAGAGAGGGAACACAAGCAGGGGGAGTGGGAGAGGGAGAAGCAGGCTTCCTGCGGAGCAGGGAGCTTGATGCGGGGCTCGATCCCAGGACCCTGGGATCATGACCCGAGCCAAAGGCAGATGCCTAAAGACTGAGCCACCCAGGTGCCCCCTTTTACCAGCTTCTAACTTCCAAATGTAATGTTTCCCTTCCCAGAGTTGTTACTAAAGGATTTTAAGCAGAGGAGGGACATGATATGATTTGCACTTTTAAAAGATCATTCTGGCTGCTGTGGGGAGGGCAGGTTAGAGGGGGCAGAGTGGATACAGGAGGTGAGCTGGGAGAATGTCGCAGTGGTCAAGGTGAGAGATGATAGAGGCCTGGGCCAGATGATGGAAGTGAAGACAGGGAGAAGTTCCAGGTGTATTTTGGGGGTAGAATTGTCAGCATGTGGGAATGGATTGGATTAAATCATGATGACGGGGAGGGTGAATGTTCAGGATGTCTCCCAGTTTTCCAGTTTGGGCAACTCAAGTATGAAGGCACATTTGCTGGCTCTTTCTACAGTTCTTCATTTTTCACATAAGACCTCATTCACAATGGACCTCTTCTCTAATCTCTAATCTCTAATCACTCCCTAGGTGATCTTGTCCAATCCTATGGCTGTATATACTATTTATATGCTGACTCCTACATTAACTATCCCCTGCACTCTAGACTGACTATGTAACACCTCCATTTGGATGTCTAATGGGTCCCTCAAATTTACAAGTCCCAATGCTGAGCTCTTGCGATTCATCCTACAAACCTTGCCCACTGTTCACCATCTTGATAAATGGCACCAGTCTTTGCGTGTTCACTCAGTTGCTCAGGCCAAGAACTTAAGAGTTATCTTTGATTCCTCTCTTTCTTCATATTCCACAGCCAATCCATCTGCAAATCCAGTTGTCTCTACCTTTGAAAAGGTGTATGCTTAATCCAGTTAGTTCTCACCATTTCCATTGCTGTCACCCTAGTCCCGGCTACTGCCATCCCTCTGATGTACCCTGCAGTAGCCTGCTGACTGGCTTCTCGCTTCCAGTCTTGCTCCTTGTTTGCCATGCAGAGCTGGGGTTCCTTTAGCAAATCTGATCACTTCGCCCTGCTCCCCACTCAAAACCCTCCAACAGCTTCCCATCACACTTAATACCTAATGCAAAATTCTTATCAGACCCTATGCAATTGCCCCTGGCTCTGTTTGCCCTCATCTACTACTATTCTTCCCCTGCTGGCTCCACCCCAGCCACTCACTCTGGCCTCCTTACTATTTCCTGAACCTGCCAAACGCATTCTTGCCTCAGGGACTTTGTGCCTTTCCCTCTCCCAGGAATATCCTTCATCCAGATACCCTCATGGCCCATTCCTCCCCTTCATTCAGGATTCTGCTCAAATGTCAC